TGAGATTATACAACCACACCTTGTCTCCTGGTACAAAGCTGATTTCAGTAGATCTCTTATCATACAATAACATTAACATTATCGAATCAGCAGACTTTTTCAAGTTTGAACGCACTTAATGGTGAATATCATCCATCCTTTCCGATAACACTTTCACGAATTCTGACACATTTTCAGGCAACTCTTAGTAAGGTAGGCGTCCTGTTATCAGATCCATTGCAAACGAAGTTCCCGAACAAACATTAACTTTGCTGTAGCGTATCCAGTGGCTTCATGCTCTGTTGTTCTCTAGGCCATCAACAGTGGAGGGAGTAAGACATTCCAGTCATCTTGGCGACTATTACAAAACTTTGCTAATTCCTGTTCCAATGTCCAATTGTAATTTTCTACCATCCCATCAGACTGTGGATGAAGTGGCGTTGTTCAGGTCTTTCATATGCCAAACATCTTGCAGCATTCATGCAACACAGTTGATTCAAAGTTACAGTCTTGATCCGAATGCAGTTTGTAAGGCATACCAAATCTGAAGAAGAAATCCCAAATAGCCGAAGCTACAGTTGCAGCTTCCTGATTTGGTATTGCATATGCCTCAGGCCACTTGGTGAAATAATCCATCACCACACAAATGTACTTGTTTCCAGCACGAGTTTGGAGCAGAGGACCAGCAATGTCAACAGCTACTCTTTCCATTGGTGCACCAACTTGATATAACTTCATTCGAGCACGTCCCTTATGCTTGGGTCTACTTTTAGCACAATATGTACTGCATGTCCTGCACCATTCTTCCACATCTTGCCTCATACCTATCCAGTAAAAGCTCTGTCGTAGATGACACAATGTCTTCTTAACTCCGAAATGTCCTCCTGTTAAACTATCATGGGATTGACGCAGCACAACTTCCCGTAATTTTCTCGGTATAACCGTTTCCCAGGTCGTCATTTTCCCATCTGCAGTTTTCCATTTCCTTAGAAGAATACCATCTTCAAGCTTTAACTGGTCTCATTGTGCCCAATAGTTGTTTGACACATGGCTTAAGCTAGACACCTTCTCCCAAGTAAGTCGCAAAACATTTGCTTGTAGAAAATCAATTATTGGCTTCAAATCTTGGTCTTTCTCCTTCTCTGCTTTAATATCTATACCTGGTTCCAATTCACCATCATCAACTCCGTCAGTCACCTTGAGTT